CGCCTACCAGAGGGGAGGAGCTGGAACAGGTTGTGTCCGGGGTGAGATGGATCTGCAGTGATGTTTCCTGTTCGTTTCCTGACTGGAAATGTAAAAGTCCTGAATGGAGGGCAGGTTGGCACCGATGAGTTTTTTCTGCAGTCCTGACTGTCCGTTTTAGTCTGTCCCTGTCCTTTTTGGTGGCAGATCCAAACCAGACAGTGATGGACCTGCAGAGGACAGACTGGATGATGGCTGTGTAGAAGTGGATCAGCAGCTCCTTAGGCAGGTTGAGCTTCCTGAGCTGGCGCAGGAAGTACATCCTCTGCTGGGCCTTCTTGATGATGGTGTCAGTGTTGGGCTCCCACTTCAGGTCCTGGGAAATAGTGGATCCCAGAAACCTGAAGGATTCCACAGCAGACACAGGGCTGTTGAGTATGGTGATGGGGGGCAGAGTGGGGGGGCTCCTCCTGAAGTCCACGATCATCTCCACAGTTTTGAGCGTGTTAAGCTCCAGGTTGTTCTGACCGCACCAGAGAGCCAGCTGATCAACCTCCCCTCTGTAGGCTGATGACCGTCCTGGATGAGGCCGATGACCGTTGTGTCGTCAGTGAACTACAGGAGTTTGACAGATGGGTCTCCTGAGGTGCAGTCTTTGGTGTAGAGGGAGAAAAGCAGTGGGGAGAGCACACACCCCTGGAGGGCGCCAGTGCTAATAGTACGGGTGCTCGATGTGATGTTCCCAGTCAGGAAGTTTGTGATGCACTGACAGGTGGAGGCACAGTGAGCTGGGTGAGTTTGGTGCTGAGGATGTCCAGGATGATGGTGTTGAACGCTGAGCTGCAGTCCACGAACAGGATCCTTGCATTTGTCCCTGGAGAGTCGAGGTGTTGCAGGATGTGATGCAGTCCGAAGTTGACTGCATCATCCACTGACCTGTTGGGCAAACTGCAGGGGGGTCCAGCAGGGGGCCTGTAATGTCCTTCAGGTGGACCAACACCAGTCTTTCAAAGGACTTCATGACTACATGCCTATAGTCATTCAGTCCAGAGATGGAAGGTTTTTTGGGAGGGAGCAGGAGGGAACTTCACACAGCTCCAATGATCTGTTGAAGATCTGTGTGAAGATGGGGGCCAGCTGGTCCGCACAGATTTTCAGGCAGGATGAAGACACACCGTTGGGGCCAGGAGCCTTCCTGATCTTCAGCCTTTGGAAGAGGTGGCTCACGTCCTCTTCACAGATCTTGAGTGCAGGTGAGGGGTCAGAGGGGGAAGGTGACTGTTTGAAGATGGTGTTGGAGCGGGGGAGAGGTGTGACTGTGGGCTTCTCAAACCTACAGTAGAAACCATTCAGCTCGTTGTTGAGTACCAGCAGAGTTGGAGGATGGTCTCCTGTAGTTGGTGAGCAGGCCTCTCCACACTGACGCAGGGTCGTTGGCTGCAAAGTTGTTATGCAGCTTTTCAGTTCAGCTCCTCTTTGCAGCTTTGACCTCTTTAGTCAGTGTGTTCCTGGCCTGGTTGTACAGGACTCTGTTCCCACTTCTGAAGGCCTCCTCCTTGGCCTGACGAAGCTGCCTGAGTTTTGCTGTGAACCAGGGTTTTTGGTTGTTGTATGTGCGGAAGGTTTTAGTCAAAAACTGATGTAAAATGTCACAGTGTCAGATAGTTCGTCCAGGTCAGTGACTGCAGCCTCAAAAACACTCCAGTCCGTGCAGTCAAAGCAGGCCTGTAACTCCAGCTTTGACTCATTGTTCCATCTTTTCACAGTCTGTACAACAGGTTTAGCAGATTTCAGTTTTTGCCTGTATGTTGGGATAAGATGGACCAGACAGTGATCAGAGAGTCCCAATGCTGCACGGGGGACAGAGTGATAGGCGTCCTTTAATGTAGTGCAGCAGTGGTCCAGTGTGTTAGTGTCCCTGGTGGGACACTTAATATGCTGTCTGTACTTTGGGAGTTCGTGGCTGAGGTTTGCTCTGTTGAAGGCCCCGAGAACAATGAGCAGGGAGTCTGGATGTTTTTTCTCCACGTTAGTTATCTGGTCGGCCAGGTGTAGTAACGCCTCACTAACACAGGCCTGAGGTGGAATGTAAACAGCGACCAGAACAAACGAGGAAAACTCCCACAGTTTACCGTTAATAATGTATGTATAATAATGTAATAACATGAATAATGTCTCTGTGAGGGCTGCATGATTTTTCCAACACTGTGACATCTGTGCACCAACCTTCGTTTATATAGAAACAGAATCTGCCTCCCCGTGTTTTTTCTGAAAGCTCCCTTTCGTGTTCCATAGCTCGGTGAAACAGAGGGCGGCAGATCTGTAGAAGTCTGAGTTAGTTAGTACTGTTGAGGAGAAGCAGTTCGTCCATTTTGTTGTCTAGAGAGCAAACATTGGCCAAGTGAATTAAAGGGAGCGCAGTGCGCTGTCCCAGTTTAACCAGCGCGCATGCGCCATTTCTGAAGGATCCCAAACAGAGCTGCTGCTCGTCCAACTAATAACTCCGGGAAAGTTCCGGGTTCGTTAGGGAGTGGTGGAATAGTGTGAGCAGTTGAAAGTCCAATATTTAAGAGCTCTTGGTAACATTTACCAGAGAGGGATGCAGAAAACAGCGTTAATAAACAAAAACACAAAATGCACTACGGAGCGTAATCCAGAGGCTGCTGTCTGCGGCGCCATCTTAGATATTTTTAAACTAGTATATCATGTATTGACCAACAGGCTTCAAACTCTGTTGGTCTTTGTGAACAGTGAACAGACTCAATCTTTGCAGACATTTTAAAGAACAAAACATTAAAATGATACAGATTGGGATTTCACTCCCTAAAGTCTTTGGCAGATCATATGGACAGCCTACAGTTTCATTTTGTAGTTTGGATAAATCATGAAATTAATTTTGATACATCTGATAAAATATAATTAATGAGAAGCCTGCAAAAAGCATTGAACATAGTCTGCATTGTGGATGGATGGGTCGACAAATCGTCTACCATTATTTGTTTCCAGTTTCCCATCAATGATCAAAGGTTTTTTTTAACAATGACCCTAAACTTAATCAAGCAGTTCTTAACCATGATGACAAAGGCTTACCTCTCCCAACACCCTATCCGTATAATTTCTCTTTTCTCTCATTCATGTTTCTGTCTGTTCTGTAGTTATCACCCCATGTTCCTCTTCTTTCCATTCATCTCATATACTCCTTTTCCCCTACCTTTTGATACACACACACACACACACACACACACACACACACACACACACACACACACACACCATGTGTATTGATGCAATTTCAAATAAACACAGTTCCCGTTGGCTTTTGTCTCATCCTATCCATGTGTGTACTTTGTGTGCATGTGTCCCCTCGTCTATCACTCTCATTCTGCAAAGAGCTGCGTAGCTCCTTAGTCAGCATATTAACTTAATTAACTGAGTGTGTGTACGGGTGTGTGTGTTTACATGTGCTAATGCAATGTCCATTTCTGTGAGGGTTTGTGAACAGGTCTGTGTTTATGAAATTGTGTGTGTGTGTGTGTGTGTGTGTGTGTGTGTGTGCTTGTGAGGAGCATGTGTGAAGGAGAGTACATGGGTTTATGTAAATTATACATTAAGCATTTTAGATGTTTCAAAAGAGATATTTTGAATTAATTGCATTTTCGACACGGTGCTGCAAGTTAAAAAGATATTTTTGCTGTATGTGCTGTTATTATAGGATATATAAAATGTAGCTGTATGAGGCAAAACATTTGTTAGAAAACAGAGGTGGACTGGCAGAATAATTCCAGCCAGGAATTTGACTCCATCCCAGGCCACCCTGTTTCTAGCAAACCACCAGACTGCTAATTTTGTAGACTAACCTTATTTGTTGATTTAACAGGTACCAAACTAGGTATAGATTTTCATCTCGGAAGAAAGCTATCCACATTACAAAATACAAACATTTGGGATGAGCCTATCTGAACAGAGTTTTGAAAGTACAGTATGTCCTTCCTCTAGAAATACACCAATCACAGCACATTACAAATGTACTAAAAATCTATTAGCCTACATTTTTTAAAAAGAGAAAGAGACCTAGCCTACACAGTTTGCTCAAATAATTGTCTCGACAGCATCAATCATATTAAATGTATCAAAAAACATAACACACACATTCACTGAACTTGAACATAAGCATCAACAATGAAAGTAAGTAGGCCTACAATGGAAGTCCAATGGAAGTCCAAGATGCTTCCGCCTCCTGTCTGAACCTTGCATAAGCCATGTTATGGCAGGATGCAACCCTGATATCACAGCAAAGCAAGTTATGGTAATCAATGAAAACACAACCAATGATAATACAATAATACAAACAAGAGAGCAGCTTTCATTGAAAGTAATTAACATGGAGTCCTTTGGGGCCTCAGCCATTCACTGAGTGGCACTTTATTTTGCTTTGCCTACTTGATAACCCTGCCTTGGGAGATGTTTTAGTGTACTTTTAGTCTGGGCCATTTTTTTCATGGTGTGGGCCCCTTGTTCCAATAAAGGGAAATCTTAAAGCTTCAGCATACAACAATATTTTACACAACAGCATTCTTCCAATTTAGTGTCAACAACTTGTGTTTGTCTCTTTCTTGTTTCAACATGACAAATACACATATCCAGCTCACTAAAGAAAGGGTTACACAAAGACATCAACCCTAACCACCTTTGGGATAAAGTGGAACAGCAAGTCCTTTCCATCCAACATCAGTGTTGACTTCACTAACTCTTGTGGCTGAATTGGAGCAAATCCCTGCAGCAATGCAGGTTCCAACATCTGGAGTAAAACCAGAAGAGTGGAGGCTGTTATAGTTCTTCCCAATAAATCTTATTTCTTAGCAGTTCAATCCATGAATGCAGCACCTGTTTTGACCTTAATGACATCAAATGATCAAATTATATGAATTCAGACAGTCGGTCGGCCGGCAAATCTATTGATTCATAAAATCTGCATCCCACATATTCTCTCTCTCTCTGTCTCTCTGTCTCTGTCATGCACCTTGCAGATATACTCTCTCACTTTCTCGCTCACACATAACGCAGACTCCTCCTTCCTCTGCTCCTCTCTCCTCCTCTCTGTTGGCCCTTTGACTCCTGGACGGGACGCTATAACAGTAACAGGGACAGGCGGTGGATGGGGAAGGGCAGCAGCGGCAGCAGCAGCAGTAGTTGGACGCACCGACCGAAGCATGCTCCAGCGCAGCCATGACTTGCTCGGCGTCAGATAGCGAGAAGATCGTGATCAACTGCGGCGGGATCCGACACGAGACTTACCGGAGCACTCTAAAGACGCTGCCGGGGACGCGCTTGTCTTGGCTGACCGAGCCCGACGCCTACAGCAACTTCGATTACGATCCCAAGTCCGACGAGTTCTTCTTCGACCGCCACCCGGCCACGTTCGCATTCATCCTCAACTACTACCGCACCGGCAAGCTCCACTGCCCCAACGATGTGTGCGGGCCGCTCTTCGAGGAGGAGCTCGCTTTCTGGGGCATTGATGAGACGGATGTGGAGGCGTGCTGCTGGATGAACTATCGGCAGCATCGCGACGCCGAAGAAGCCCTGGACAGCTTCGAGACCCCCGAGCCGGACGCACCCGAGGATGACCCGGCGCTCACCGGCGGAGCGGACGGCGACCTGAAGCGGCTGTGCATGCAGGAGGACGGCCGCAGGGCGACGTGGTGGGAGGTGTGGCAGCCCAATATGTGGGCGCTGTTCGAGGACCCCTACTCCTCCAAATACGCTCGGGTGAGTGGCCGAACAAGTGTTTATTCTATTCTTTGTTCCTTTTCGTTTCTCTGCGTTCTTGCGCCTTTCCTATTAATGAAGCGCGTTTTTTCTCTCTTTCTTTATTAAATTTCTTTCCCTCTCTGTTGCGCGCTGTCACAACCACGTCTGGCACTGTTTTGGCCACTGCGTATTGTTGCGCAAAAGTTCCCCTAAACTGTTTCAGAGTGGAAGGATGTCAAATTCACTGCAGTGTTTTTCTACATGTAGATGGATCTGCTTCCATTTTTTCTCTCCTTACCTCTATGAATTACATTCTGCTCATCACTCCTCTCCTCAGTTTAGTTACCCAGCTGCTGTTTTTCCTTTAAATCTCTCCCATTGATATCACTGTGTGAAGATTTAGCCACTGCTGATGCCCATTTGTCAGTCCATTCTCTCTTTGTCTCCCTCTCTTTCTGCCTGTCTCTCCAGTGCTATATGTGTGCACCAATAGTTTTAACATGACTTAATTAGGAAAACCCTAATCTGGGATCCATTTGGTTACTACAGTTCTTACTTGGTCACTACAATTGTTTCACAGTCCAATAATCAACTTAATCAACAAGTAAACGAAAGTGAAAAGTTGGCAGGTAGTCCCTGCTCCGTCCATATGTTCTGTCTCTTCTGGATGTTATTGATGCTGCTACAGTCCTTTAATCACCAGCCACCTTACACATCCAAAAAGTTGCTGGGTTTGTTTGTGCATGTGTAGGACAGCACATGCACATGAATGCATTAGTCTTTACCCATGAGTTACATGTGCTGGCATGGAGACTGGGTTTTGTGTCCCGTGGCAATCCAAATGGTAAAGGGGATGTACACCCTCGATATCTGCCTGGATTCTCCCAGAATATTTAAAACATGGTATATTAAGGGTGAGGGAGAGGGGTGCAGAGTTGTGCGCATGGCTTGGCAACGTAGTATGAGGGGTGGTATGGTGAGACAGACACAGACTAAAACATTGACCACTAGCGACGACGACTCCACACAGGAGTCCCCTCCCCCTGGCCTGGACTACGGCTGTCGTTGTAGGTCCATGTAGGTCCATGAGAGAACAGGTGATGTCAGGGAATAGTATAAAGCTATTGTTGGCTAGTGTGGGTTCTCCTTAGATTAGTTGATAATTAGTCACATAAGGCCATTTTCAGTTTTCACTTCCAAAATTATATAGGTGCTAGCTACCCTGACAGCCTTCTTAGTTTCATCCCTTTCCTCTCCCTGTGGTCAGTCTGCCACTTCTCACCTGTCTCTCCCTCTGCCTTCCTCTGCTGATTGTCTCTAAAAATCTATGGCTGTTTGCAGAGCCAGAGGCCAGTGCTGACCTGGATTATTGTGAGTTGAGGTGTATTTTCTGTGGAGTGCAATACGCACAGAGACAGCATATTGACTCAGTCGCTCTCTGTGACTTATGATGAAGACACACAATCAGAGACACACACACACACACACACACACACACACACGCAGTCTGACATGTGCATGTACTGTAGGGGCGCATGCATACACACCTTATGCACAAAATGCACATAAACATATCTATTTATCTCTCTATCTATCTTGATTTTCTGTTTGTTATATGTGAAATTATTAAATTCTTTCGTTATTAAAAATTAAAAATGATCATTATTAGATTGCAAGAGAGGCTAAACATGTGTCTAGCATTCATTCCTCAAGATGTTCTTATCTGGCAATTGGATTGTCCTGTTCTGAGGGAGGTAACAATGAATCTGTGGATGTCCATGCCCTGTAGCTCTGTCACAACTCTGCCATGGTTCCAAGGTGCACTGTGAGCATTTTTCAAGCAGCTCACCTTCAAGCAGACTGTACCTTCAGCATTTTTGTATGGGCTACAAAAAGAATCCCTCTGTAAACAGCTTATCAATGAACAAGTGGGGAAAAGTATATTCTTGTATGGAAAAAGTCAACAACTCACTGCCTGCATGATGTATGTTTTCTAGATGTTCTCAGCATGCTAAATTACTTGAGAGTGTCTTTGTACATGTACTTTTCATGTACAGGAGGAGTCATAAATGTGCAGGTAGTTGCCAGTAGGTTTATGAGGCATGTCTGCTCATTTCAAGGGATGCAGAACCACAAATTTACACCAAATTATGAAGAAAAAAGGGAATTTTGGAATCAGTGTGAATCTATGGACAGACACAGTTCTTATTGTCATGTCTTATCTTCTTGTATTTAGCTTGTTGATACAGATGTTTTTGACCATGCGTGCCTCGTGGAGCTTTTTCATGGATAAAATAATAAGAAGTTAAGTGGCAACCAAACATTTTTGTCATGGAGGTGACTTTGTGTTGCAGTGTTGCAGTCAGTAGTTTTGGTGCCAGCACGGTGACTTAGAGATAGGTTGGAAGGGGTGGTGGGGGATGGCTAGCGCAACGGCAACAGCAGCGGCAGCTTTCAGTGAGAAAGCGATGGAAATCAATAACTGGATAACTGGTTCAATTTATGCATCTGTCCATTAAGTATATGAAACATCCTTTTAAAGGTAGCACGGCTTTCCATTGCTTTCTGTTTTCTTCTTCTCTTCTACTCTACATCTGTACAGTCCTCCTTCTGTTCCTTTTCTTCTGGTTATTAGTACTGTCAGCTTGTGCTGCTTTATTACCACAACTTCAGAGCTGAGAGCTGGATTGCTTATTATCGCTATTCAGCCCCCCCAACCCCCTCCACGTCCTCTCCCACCCTCTATCCATCCATTCCTCCTCTACCCCCCTTCCTCTCCAGCTCTCTGCTTGTGCTATAGCGTAACACTGCAGTCCCCGTAGTAGCTGACTGCGCTGTAGTCTGCTGCAGAGGAGGGAGAGAGACACAGAGGGATGGGAGGGGGTGACAAGATGAGAGGTGTTTTGGTGAGGGGAGGGGGGTGAATTCAGAGTAAGAAGCAGTAGAGGAAGAATAGGCTGGGGGTCACTTTCTACACCTCCTTGTTTTTGTTCCCGCTGCCCCTCGTTTTTTCCTTTTCTGCTGCGCTCAGCAGGCTGGGATGCTCAAATCCTTTTATTGATCGGGCAGTACGTCTCGGCTCACCTCATTCAGGTGGATGTCTCTGCTGAACGGTGTTCTTTTGTAAGCAAAACCTTCCCACACACACCTCTTTCTCGCTCTCTCTCTCCATCATTTCACACAGCGGGTGTGATGGCAATTCCAAGTCCCTCAAGGAGAGAAACAAATACGAGCACAAATAAACATACACGCACCTATGCTTACACATACAATTGTGGCACTGTCACTGTCATTTTGACCTAATTTTTAGAGGCTCAGTTGCACATGAGAGTTATTCACACATTATTCGTGGGTTCATCATTATTATAATGTGATATCATGCTGGAGTGTAATAATTGACGTCCTGCAGTTAACATCAAAACCTCCAGCAGCCGTTCTACTGGCAGGGAGATAATAAGATAAGGTGTTGTTGGATACAATTGTTTTGGTAAATTATAAAATTAACAATGGATTAAAATAACATGTGTAACACTGAAGGTTTCGCATATATTGACACACCCACAGAGAAGTCTCACCAACTCTGCAGTCCCCCTCAGCACTACAGACCTTTTTAACCTCAGCAAACTGCTGCAAAGAGCATACAGTACAGGCACAGTTAGAGACTAGCTGGTGAACATAGTGGAGCATTTAGCTATAGATGTTGAAATACTTAACCTAAAGTAATTGATAAAAGAGCTATTAATGGATAAATGGTTTAATTATTCAGCTTCTGCAACTCTAGCTTCTGACACCAGCTCTGTGCTCGACACATAGAGATGAGATTGATTGATTCATTTTGTCATCTCAATGTTCAGGAACAAAAGCAAAGCAGAGTCCATAAGCCAAACTGTTGAACTATTCCTTTAAGAGGAATAGGTGTGACAGAGGGTCAGTGGGTGGAAACTGGCCACATCTATAAACCGATTCACCCCAAAACAATGACTTAAGCCAGTGTTATTTATGGAGCAGGTACATTGCTTTTGACCTTTAGATTGGAACATGTCGCTTGACGGTAACATCACTGCAAGATCTCAATGCCTTTGCAGCTAAACAATGGCAACCAGGTGATGACAATTACACACTCTAGCTGTTTTTAAAATGTTCCTATTTAGTACTCTTCTGATATTTTCAGTGTCTTTCCTCCTGTTTTTAAAACATTAAGCACAGGTCTCTCTCCCCCTCCCTCTCTAGTGGTTTTGTTGTGCTATAGGCAATATATCCACCAGGGTCCCCCTTCCCCCTCTGTGCTTTTCAGGATAATGCTGCGACAGAGCTTTCTTTCTCTACTTGTCGCCAATCACAGGAGAGAGAGACTGAGAGAGAGATAGAAGTGAGAATGTAAGAGGAGAGGGTGCAAAGAGAGAAAGAGGGGCACCAAACTATAGTTGATGACTTGTCAAGAAATAAAGCGTTTAACCTCTGAGTGAGCTCCACTGTCCTCTTGCCTCACAGGGGTCAATAACACAGTCAGTAAGCACATACACATATACATATACTCACAGGCTAAATGCAGAGACACATACACAAAAGCAGCTAATTCTGCAGAGAAAATCGCATGTGCAGTAAGCCTAGCCTGGTACAGGCAGCAGATTACTGCAGAATGATCTGCTTTGACGTGCTGTGCAGTGCGTGTGTGAGCGTGTGTATGTGTGTAAGGGAGGTGAGAAATGCGGCTGATCTCCTTCTGCATTACTGCCTGGATTTGAACACCATTACTTCCTCACTATTTTGGTGCCTATGGCCCTGTTTACACAGCATTAACATGCGTCCTGGGTGATCTGATTACAAGTGGACAGCTCTAAGTACAGGTGGGAATGCACCCAAGATGCATAGGATGCATTGAGATCCGACTGATCAGACCACATTCAGGTGTGTGTGGTCCACATATGGCCACAGTCTTTTAGTAGGAGTGTGTGTGAATATGTCCTGAGCCACACTGAAGCAAAACAAAGAGCCACAACAAAGAGCCACAACCATGG